TTTTGTTATGGGTTACCTCTTTTTTAAAAGCAATTCGTCTGACGAATATCTGTGCATGTTACTCTTATCTAAGGTAACTTCAGAGTGAACATGGAGAATTTTGACCAGTTTTTTTTATTTGCCTGACAATAAATGATAAAAACTTGGCTGGCAATGAACGAACTTACCTTCTTTTTATTGAAGCGTTTTTCATCGTTTTCGATTACTTTTGGTACCTTTGTGGGATGGCAAATGCAAGAAAGTGTGGCCGAATACATAGTAAGATTTTTCAAAGACAGTTAAAATTCTTTCTATTCCGTTAATAAATTGCGTGTTAGCACAAACCATATTGTACAGAAAGTGACCTGCCTCATGCTTTAAATTTAACAAGAGTACTTTCAATGCCCATGTACAGGGTAAAATGTGCGCACTTTGTTTACGGTCCCAAATCTTCGATTCTCTAGAACAAAATACAGTCAACACGTTTTTCCTGAGTTTTCTGACAAAAACTTCAGACTCTAGCAAACAATAATTTTAATAGGAAGGGGGGAAGGGATTGACAGACTTGAATGATTCATTTGACCCAATTGTGAAAAACCCGCCGGCCTCCTACTGACGCTGTGGAGTTTTTTCACAATTGGGTCAAATGAATTATTCAAGTCTGCCACCCCCGTGTCCCTAACTAATAAGGTGTGCCTGGTAGTCATCTGGTGTATTCTAGATTGATTGCTTAGGTAATCCTGCTTGGACAATCAGCTTACTCTGTCAGAACTGGTGGATTCTATGCGTTGCAGTAGGCTGGGGTGTGTAAATGGACACACGTGTGAATTAATTCCTGGCTCCTGGGGAAGGGGGCTCGTAGCTCAGTTGGCTAGAATGTTGGCTGCTGGTGTGGGTTCGAATCCCACCGAGGTCGCTGACTTTTGTACAATTCGGTAAATGAGTAAATTTTAAAATTAAAATGTTTCCTTCTTTGTGAAAAAAAGCAGTGCGATTCCTTTAACTTGCCTTCAACTGATTTTCATCAACTTAGAACTGGACTTTCCAGTTCTGGAAGAGCTATTTTTTGAGTTTCTCTTGCATATGTTGGGGTTCCCCCCACACAGCATAACGCGCAAAAGCAAACAAATGTTGGCTCTATCTTAGGAAATTCCTCTAATATCTGGTACCCTTCGATTTCGCCAGAATTCTCCCCCTTTCTTCTAAATAAACTGAATTTAACATGCAGTTTTCCTGCGTAAAAGACTTTCTGGTGATCAAATCACATCAACAGATCAAAATAAAGATATTGGATGTACGTTTAACTGTGAACTCCGATTTTGCTCATGACTCTGCATGAGTTAGGTCACCTACCGTACTGTGTGTTACAGTAAGCAAATGGGAGTGTTCATATGCAAAGGGGGGGGGGTTATCACCAACATTATCTTAAAAGATACTGTGAAGATGAACAAGGCTACCAAGCTCGGTCTTCCGAACGCATTTTAGGGGTAATTAACTGAGGTTAAAGTCTCTCGCAAAAAGAATACGAGGTTTTGGAAAGGCCTCTTACTGTTTACAGGAGCGGTATGCCACCGCCAGTAGGGCAGTGTGTAGGACTCGGAAAGAAGAGCTGCTATGGCAACTGCTGCTTTTAAATGACCTCAGACCCTCCTCATAAAGCACGTTGACGGGCCTTTAATTAACTAGCTGCTAAACGCGGACAAAAAGCCTGCTCACTAACCTACATGATCGGTTGAGGGCGGAGGAAGTTCGGGCTCCCAGTTGCAGGATAGCGGATCACTGCAACTTCCGCTATCCTACACTTGGGATTTGTACTGGTGGCCATTTCACACGGCTTTGCTATTCCAGGGGACTGCTCTCGCTGTCCAAAGTCAAATTCCCTTAATACTGCTCAATTTCAAGACAGCTTAGTCCTAGAGGACGTGTGCATTCTGGCTGTCTTTTGATACACTTTGCTTTATGAAATTGCAACGGGCAGGAGGTGGCGGCGGTGGCGTCAACTACATACGTCCACCTTTCGCGCCTCAGCTCGCTGGGGCGAGGACCTTCTTGTAGTTTTGGAGTAAAAGCCGCACACTAAGCTATCCCTTCCATTTGCGTTGGGTTTTTTTTTCAACTCCGACCTCGTTTGCTCACCTGAGACTAGTTTTTTAGCACTCTTTGATAAAAAAAAAATGCGAGTCTCTTTTGAAGGGCCGAACGCCAGGAGCCAATGAACCGACTTCAGATGATCATATTTCAGCCCACCTTGGGCAATTTGTTTGGGGGGTTGATAGCATACTTAAAGCTCCTCATGCGTTTTGTCAAACAATAAAAAGCCGAACTGAAGTCCCTTGAGGCCTTACAGAGTTGCGTTTTTGCCTTTTCAAAGGACGCTGCCACCGTTAGATTCGATAGAAAAAGTTTCCGGCGGCGGTGGAGGCGGGTTTTTTTCGTGATCCGTTCCCTTTGCGGTAAGGCTCACTCACACCTTTCGGTTCTTGTGATGGTCGCCTAGGAGGAATGCAAGCGAGAACTTGTCCGTATTGTCTGTA